GGCTGGTTGTGGCTAGATCCTGACAGATGGTCTACCCACTGCTGCTACTGTTGTGCCATGGTCTCATGTCCTAGACACCTCCTCGTCTGGACTGCTGGGCGGAACTTGGGTTACGCCCTTCTTCCTCCTAAGATCCAGGGCACCAATCCGCTTGAGTCAGTGAACTGACCATGTGCTTGTCCCGCTACCTTTCGGGTGTTCATTTAATCGAAGACTTTGGTTTAGGATCCGAGTCGTTCTCCTGTCAGGTGTGGGCGCTTTGCCAGTATACTGGTCCATCCTTTTCGGAGGTTAGGAAGTGGTCGATGGTCCTCTTCCCAGAAAACCTGGCCATGGGAGACAACAGGTCTACGGGTTGTAAGCTCACAGCTCGATGACATAGAGCACCAGAGTCACGCCTTGTCTCTGACGGTGGGAGGGTACCTCCGGGTACTCAATGGTTTGCTACTGGCCGCCTCAAGCCAGGCAGCCCCTGGTCAAATTGGTGCAAACGCGCCAAAACCCACCTGTGTCGCCGTGGTCGCAGGTGACTATCTAACTACCGTTGCAAAACATTTATGAATAGTTCCAGTACCTCAATGCCTGCGTCTGAAAGACCTTAAGCAGATCTTTATCTGTCTCTGCAATCACATTCCCCGAGCTGGATCTGCTCCCCACTGTCTTGTGGGTCAGGCTATTGAGCCAAAGGCTCCGGGTGGAGTCCCTCAAGCAAACTGCAGAATCACAACCACCTCGCTTGTATTTGCACACTAGTGCAGTCGTATACCTCCGGGCAAAGCCCTGAACATTGGGTGCTGGAACGTTCGGACACTACTGGACCGGAACTCGAGTGAGCGCCCCGAGCGACGCACTGCGCTGGTCGCGATGGAACTGGCGCGATACAACATCGTTATTGCGGCGCTCGGTGTGACTCAGCTCGCTGAGGATGATAAGATGCGAGATGCAGGTGCCGGCTATACGTTCTTCTGTGTGGCCAACGCCGCCTCAGCACCACGTGACCATGGGGTCGGATTTGCAATATCCGATCGCCTCCATGGCCACCTGGTGGGTGAAACAACAGGCGTCAGCGCGCGACTGGTGACTTTTCGCCTACGACTCGGAAGAGATAAGTTTGCAACTTTTATAAGCATGTACGGTTCGACCATATGCTATCTTGATGACACCTGTGATCCATTCTACACTCAGCTATCCTCCATGACACGGTCTGTGCCGAGGAGCGACTGACTATTTCTGCTGGGTGATTTCAACGCGCGCGTTGGGCGTGATGCATCGGCGTGCACAGATGTTATCGGTTCGCATTGCATTGGTTCAGCGAATGCGAACGGTGACAGGCTGCTCTCACTCTGTGCCACTCACAGCCTGACGAGCACGAACACTCGGTTTGCACTGAGTGCGAGTGATATAGCAACTTGGATGCACCCACGAATTGGTCGTGCTCACCTGCTCGACTATGTCATCTTACGTCAGCGTGATATGCGTGAAGTGCGCATGACTCGTGTACTGCGTGAAGCTGACTGTGGCACTGGTCACAACTTGGTGCGGAGGAAACTATACATATGTTTTCGCAAATCTGCGTATTGTACTCCCGCTTTGCATCGGCGTAAATTTAACCTTTTCTCTTTCGGTACTGTGACGAAACGTACTGAGGTGGAGAATACGATAGCTGCACGACTTTGTGATGTGGACTGCATAGCCATGGTGGGCGACTTGTGGCACCACATCCGCGACCACTTGACGGCTGCTGGCGAGGAGACAATCAGACGCGCAAACTGTAAGCGGCCTTATTGGTTTGATGCGAATTGGTGTGACGAATTAGTGTCAGGGAAGAATACAGCATTTGCTGCACATGTGGCAGAACCCAATAACGAAAAAGAAATAAAGGCTAATTCGACGACGACTGACCCCTCGAGCTCCGTCGTACTAAAAACCCATGGTGGACGGAGAAGGCGAAGCATATGGAATGCTTCGCGGAACGCCGCGAACACAAGGAATTCTGGCTCCTTGAAGGCTGTATATCTCCTGAGGTTGGAGCCACTGATGACGCTGGTCCATGTTAGGTCAGGCGCTACCTGCACACAGGCTGCAGACCTAATACAGATCTGGCAAAAATACCTTGACTGTCTCGTGAACAAATGATCAGATATTGACTGGCCTACTTTGAGTGGTCTGACGCAACACGATGTGAAGGCGAGTCTGGCAGACACGCCGATACTGGATGAGACTCAGAGAGTACTTGTTCAGCTGCGTAACGGAAAGTTTTCGGCTGCCGAGAGGATCCCGCCTGAAGTATTGAAACGCGGTGAACCCGCGCTGGTGACTGCGGTGTAGCGTGTGTGGTTTGAGGAGGAGGTGCCTCCTGAGCTGATGGGTGCCCTTGTGCTACCGTTGTACTAGGTCAAAGGTAGCAAGCAATGTTGTACGAATTATCGTGACATCAACTTGCTGAGTTGTGTGGGCAAGGTAATATCCCGAATCTTGCTCAACGGCCTCGTCAGTTAGGTTGTTCTCTAGACCCTTTACCAAGTGGGTGACATCCTAACTACACGATAAATGCTGACAAGGCTGACAAACGCATACGGAGTTTTGGTGACGCCTTTCGCTTCGAGAGTGTGGGACATTTCGTACATAGATTCTCTAACCGAAATGCAGTTCAAGATGGTTTGCATATATTTAGACTAGTCACTGAGTAAGGGGTTGTCATCGGCATAATCTAAGCCTGTCGTTCACGTAACCATTTGTAGCTGAGGGTGAAAATTTTGGTAATCTTCCAGAGCTTTCGATTGTACGTCTTCAATCGCCCCCTTAAGGGAACGAGAACATAGGGCCTAGCTGTCGAACACCGCAACTAACAGCGATGGAGGTAAAAAGTTTGCCCTATACCATTACTCTGGTAGAGACTTGGAGGTAATTTGTACGATGACAGTATACCCACTTGGAACCCCACCCTTTAGCGAGCAATCCCATAGCGCTGGTATATCAACCGAGTCGGATGCAGCACGGATGTCTAGTAAGGCAACGATTACAGACCTCTGGTATCGATGGCGGTGTTCGAGGATTTGACAGAACGTGACTATCCACACGCCCACGGGTGAGACGGAAGCCAGCTTGTTCTTCTCGGCATTGTGATCCACTTATCGAAGATATGCTGCGGAGTAGAATGGATTCCAATAGTGTGGAGGCAACCGAAATGAGATTGCTCCCTCGCAGGAAATGCGAGCACACTTCTTAAAAGTCGCGACAATAACTGATTCACCCCAGGAAGAAGGTACGCTTTCTTCATGCTAACTTTTGCCGTACCATGAGACTAGCTGGCCACCATACTTAGCTCTGTTTGAAAATCCTGCAGTCTTGAATCGCTTCAATCGTCGAATCACCCTTATTTGGTCATGAGAAATGAAAGCCCTTATTTCGAATTTGTCTTCAGTTGGAGGTTTTCTGCTCCCTGGTTGTGGTCCGAAAGACGGTCAACACCTTTCTCTGGGTACACTTCTTGATGTGGCTAGGAACTGACGTAAGTGACTTTTGTGTTGTTTTGTTGTCCCACCCCCTCCAGTTTATTCCCTCCTCTCTATCAAGTGTCTCAACCACAATGCATAATGTGATTTTTCGTATTGTCACTTTGTTTTTAGCTTTTGTAGCGTGCAATGTTTAATCTCTTCTATTTTATATGGCGGCACGTTATCTGGGGTGTTTCTCGACTAACGTGTATTCACGATGATGATGACATACGAATCGTTCCTTGGTTTGGCCCAATTATTTTTTGGAACAATTTCTTTCTTAACACACCTCGTTTTGAAGACTCGATGAATTTCCCATTTGACTTAAAGACTGGCTGATCGCACGAATTAGCTTACTATTTTCCGTACGCGAGGTCCTTATAGGTATTTACCATCCAAAAGTATGCTTAGAAGCGATCTAGAACTCATGATGTCAGGAAGGTCTTAAAATTTCTCGTTTGATAAAGCTTTACATGTGGTGACCACGTAGCGTCAACTTCTAGTATTGAGTGCTTTTTGCCACATTTCTCCTATGTCGTAACTATTTTAACAGTTTTATGCATGCGACGTCAATCATATATCAGCTCATTCAACTTGATGGAACTTTCGTGTCAAAAGCGAGAGGCGGCCAGCCAGAAATATCACTCAACTGTTTTTAAATCTTTCTGAAATCGCCTTCTCCCTTGTTAACTCTCAACAAGTAGGTTTATCTGAAGAGCTAGAAATGATTGAAGCACATTGTACACAGCGAGTGCTCTGGACCCAACTTAGTGTAGCTCTATGTTTTCTTGTATGTTTCAGGGGCTGTTCACTGTTTGAATCGTGGTTGTGCAGATGTGCTCAATGTACCTGCAATTTGGCCATTGATTTCAACCTGTGCTTCAGGTCTGCCGCAGCCCAATGCATTTCTCTGCTAACCAAACCATGTGTCGCCTACTGTGGCCCGCTAACTTTGTGCCCACCTAATGCTCTCATCCTGATAACTCGCTCGGAGAATGAGAGATCAATGTTGGATTGTGACAGTCATCATAATTTTGACTTTGCATACATTCGTCCGTGTTTTCTACTCTGTCCGATCTCCACCTCACCATTACGGAGTGTTGCGAAGGTGGTCATCCTTCTATCGACCTCTTCCACATTCACCTGTGACTTTTGTCGATGTTGACCGACAACATGCTCATCGTGTGTTAGTGTTTGTGCATATACAAAAGACAGGTGGTACTCTCTTGGAACGAAGGTTGGCATTTGGTGGTGTGCAACTTCGCCCGTGCATCTGTTTTAGCGGTATTCGTCGCTGCCAGTGTCGAACAAAGCGTGGGATCACATGGCTAGTCAGTCGGTAAGTTAACTGGAAATTATTCTCTTCCTTCATCCGCTCAGTTATTCCACCGGTTGGATATGTGGACTGCATGCAGGTCTGACGGAATATTCACAGTGCATAAACCGCCAGCTGAACATCTTTGATTCGAAGGCGGTCAAGCGCAAGTAAGTGCTACCACGTCGCTGCTACTGTCCTATTTGTCTGCTTTCTTCATCCGTTCTCTCTAGAGCTGTAATTTTACTATCCTTCTCCCCTCATACATCGCCATTTAGGGAAACAGTTTTCTGAGAGTGTTTTATTGTTTCACCTTGCACACGGTTATTCCAACTGTTGTTTGTTGTGAGATACACCACCTGTGTGCCCATTTTTCACAGCGCGGTTCATCGTTAACTCCAGGAACGCTGCTTGCATTCATGCATTGTGGTTGCTTGTACACTTCTGGATACTGCGTCCTTAGGCTCAACTTGATCCGCCGGTAATTAACCAGGTCTGTGATGTATAGCGTTTGCTTGGTCGATTGACATTTCTCGTTTGTGTAGTATTCAACTTTTTCACTGATGCAACTTACAGCTAGAGGCAGACTCACGGTGTAGTCAAATGGCTGACCTCATTTGTGGTCGCACGTCATCAACCAGCTTGTTAGTTGTTTGTCGGTCACACCCTGGGTTTTATTGCTCACAGAGAGTGACGCGATTCTTTCCATTCACGTTATCGGAATCGCAATTTAGTCTAATTTTTGACACACAGAATCGGGTGTCACAGTTGGTGTCACAGTTGAAATTGCCGTCAGATGACCGCAGCACCATAACAACTTTAACGGAGCACTCCCTGCAGGCAGAAAAATTACCATGCCGATTCACAAGATGAATATCTGGAGTCCCAGCAACTATTTGTTTACCTAGTCTATGTTCCATGGTTACGTGCCCTCCAGACATAATTGTGATGTAATTCGCGTGATGGATAGCACGAGTAAACTCTGGACACCTACCACCTATTCGCTCATCCACTCTGTGGTTCATGCTTACGTCACATGGCAACCGGCAAAACTATTATGTACTTAGCGAGACTCCAGTCAGGATCTCACTCTAGAGGACCATAGCAGATGCCTGCTTTATCTGATGTACGCCGGCTTACCGATTATCATCCATGTGATCTCATATCGATGTTGACATGGATTCACTCCACCGCCCACTGTGGAAACCGTAGACGCACATTATGCAACCCGTCCAGATCACCCATCCCACACACACCTCAGACTTGAATGTTCCTCCCACCCGCACTGTTTGACTGAGCGAAACCACTCCGAAGGCCCAGCCCATCGCGTTCCCTTTCATACGCTGTATAGCGAACCAATGAACCAAGAGTTAACGGACCTAATAAATGAAAAGTCCGGTAGTGGACTCGGTATTGTGTCACTTTATGTACAGTGGCAAGTACTGTTTGAATTCCATTTAGACATTGTGAAGGCCGGTCGTTACGAATCTGAGCGGATATTGCCGAGAAAGGTACATATTGTATTTTGATTCCTATTTGAAAAGCACCGAAATTAACGTCTCGGCTTTCTTTCTCGGTTGGACCCGGAAGTTTTTACGTGTAACTCAAGCCCTAAGTGAATTTGTCGCTTACATTCCCTGTTAGAAGTAGACAGGAAACGCGCCACAATCGTGCCGTGTCTTGTGATGTCTCGAACCAACTTCGAGTGGGTTGCGTTAGCACTAACTCGACGAGGTTGAGGCGGATCAAAGTAGTAGCGGAATTTGCTGTTCGGGAGCTGCACCGAGTGAACACATGTGTGCCGCGTCCTTACAAGAAGAAGAAGAAAGACATCAGTAATACGCCGGTACGCGTTACCGATGCCTCGCTGCGGCGCAACCACCATCGGTCGTACGTGGTCTAAAGATACCGCGAGGGCCTACCCGTCTCTACGGAGGCTCGAACCCGCACCATCGAATTCCAAAACTAGATGGTTACCTTTAGTCTACTGGCTGCGGCCTTACAACGCACTACTGACTCGTCATCTTTGACTGATTATGATTGGTCACACTGTTAGTGCACCGTGGTGACAAGTAGGACATGATCGAACGTCAAAGCCAGGACAGTGACCATTAGAGGGCAACAGATCTCTATGTAAACAAGTGTGTTTGACATAAAAATATTCGTATTTCAGTCAATAAAACTCTCGGGCACAAGCCTAGGTCCGCCAAAACACGTAGCAACGTGATCGCCTAGTTGCGACTCATGCACACCACACGAAGCCTCAGTTTGTTTATCAGTTCAGCTGCAGTTACAGTGATCTACACATAAGCAGAACTGCGCGTCAGTTCGCTCAGAGGGTATCTGAACATTTGCCCAAGCGGTTGGGGTGAGTGATTATACAAGAAAACAGAGCGGATGTACCGGAACCAATTATCATCTATCACCAAGCGCATCTCATGAGAACCCGTCGTTTTGAAACACATGTCAGTCTGCTCTTGACTTTTGTGTCTTTCTTTTGAGAAGGGAGTGCCAGACAGCGGACCAGCATTACGACACTACCACGTAAGTATGCTATTGAAAATCAACTAGACGAACAGAGGTCTTCCGGGTAAACCTTATGTGCATATTTGTAGTGCCTCATCGCTGCACACGCACACTTTCTGCTGCCGCTTGACACTGGCAATGCTTCGTCAGCAACGATGATCGCAGACTTGACGGTATATGTGATCTTCCAACTGGCTCATCCAGGACTCAGTGTGATCTTTTGTACACGGTTTCTAAAACCAAGGGATTCACAGTTCCCTGAAGTAAAATCTAGCTTTTGCAACTTGTGAAGCAGCTTTACGCTGGTCAATGTCACACATCAAAAGGCAAGCAAGCGAATGGGGGCTATATGTGAGAAACCTTGCACTTCAAAGACGTGAAATGTTTGTCACACGATTGGAGCAATCCGGTTATTTTGTCGAAAGGGGATGGTACAGTCCCACGATAATCAGCTAGCAACTTGATGTCACCCATTTCCATTAAAGTGAATTGGGAATCAGTCCGCAGAGTAATTCCATCATGTGACTTCTTGATGCCCCACTGACATGAGCTGCTCTGACGCGGTGCCGGAGTAGAGCTTATAGCATTCAGCCGACATGGTCCCTCTAATGTCACATTAACACGAAGATCTCGTGGTTAGCTTTGGTCGATAACGTGGGAAGCGAATCAGAATGAGGTTTCTTCAACTCAGTTTTACATTGTGTTCCCGTGGGTCATTTTGTTATGAGTTCAGACTTCTATACAATTGCAGTCAAATCTGTCTACGGTGACCAGTCAACGGACCAAGAAAAACTGTTTGCCATTACAGCTTCATGCATAGAGATTACTCATCGGCGAAAACGTTGGGGTTGCGTTGGCCGGTTTCCATAGACGGGTTGGACTGTAGTTCAAATTTTTATGAGCCGCGAAATTGTTAAATACACTTTACCCCGAGCGTTGGGTTTCTTTCCTGTTGGATGACCTTAGGTACTTTGACTTGTATTCTATTCCTGGCAGACCCCGGTATTATTGTTAGGTTTCTTATAACTAAGATTCGACGGAATTTGCATTAGGCCAGTTAAGGCTTCCATTAGCATAAAATAAGCTACGCAAAAGGCATGGGACGTGACGAAGTGGTTGCATGCTACGGTTCTTCCTACGCGTATGGCTCATTATGGAAAGCCGATCGACTGGGCTCTCCGCGAACGTTCATCAGGAATGCACTCGCATAGTTAATGTTGGCATACGGCGAAATGTGTCATCCCAACTAGGGACTCAATGATCTTATGTTTCCAGCGATCTGTTGCATATAATAACATTATTGATCCTGACTATTAATATTAATAATGTATTTGTCTCGATAAGATGGAAAGCCGTTTTCGTGATTAGTAGTACAAATGCGAATGTTTTTTCGCCATTATACTGGGCCACACCTGACTACGCTGGATCAGTTTAATACAGAATACTTCGATCACAATGCGATCGGTAGCAGATCCGAGTGCATGAAAAAAGAAATGTTCCACCGCATGGAATTATGATAACATGTGGGGGCTCTAGTTCGTTTTTTGTATTCGACCTCGACTACGTGAGTAGAGCCATAAGTTTCCGGATGCGCAACTGTTTTAATGTTTACAACAAAATAAGCATTACATTTTCACGAACAACCTTCTAACAGCGTTCCCGCACAGTTTCATGCGCTCCAACCATTTCGAGAAGCAGCTAGACCATGCCAAAGCAGTTAACCCTTCAAGCAGCTCAATAAAGTCCTCAAATGCAGATTCTGGAGACTCGTCTATCCACCATGCGCTTGACATTTGAGAACATAAAAATTCACACGGAGCGAGGTTTGGACCACAGAGTGCGTGACCAACATCCTGAATGCGTTCTCTAGCCATAAAATCTACGACGATATGGGACCTGTGTGCAGATGCTTTGTTATGGTGCAGCAAGGACGGCGTCTGTCTACAGCTTCTAGCATTTGTGGGAGATAGTGAGTGGCATACTGGTCTCCGGTGACAGTGCGTTGCCGTTCGAGCGATGGAGTAGCCACTTGACCGGTCTTGGTCACGAGCACACCCACTATCTGTTTGATCACACTGCTCTCACTCCGGAATTTCTGAGATTGCGAACCATCAATGGCAGTCCACTGAGCAGATTTTTGCCTGGTCGAAACTGTACCCCGAGGTCTCATCACCACTGAGGATCTCCCAAACGGCATTGGAGCGTCCACCATGAAACCTGGCAAACATGATGCGACACCAATTCACCCGAGCTACTTTCTGGTCCTCACTGAGCTGATAGGGGGTACCCAGCATGCGCAAACCTTTTTGTGGCCGAGGTTCCCAAGTAGGTTGATGCGGATTGATCCCGATGCCTTTCCTTAGCTGTACCGCAGCAACCCGTGCGTTCTTCTCCAGTATCGCTTGCACAGTAGCAATGTTATCCGCGGTGTTGGCCTCCGCGGGTCGAACACACCGTGTCCCATCATCCAGGGTAAGTCTGCCACGCTTGAATTCCCCAAACCACTAATACATGTTGCTTCTTGAAGGTGCATCATCACCAAATGCAGCGCTCAATCGCTCAACAATCCGGTGCTGCTTTAAACTACATTTCTAGTCATAAAATATCATCGCCCTCAAATGATATCGACTGAGTTCCATGCTTACACTCAGAGTATAACGACCTTTATGACTTATGAGCTGTTATGGGCCGTTGACATGGCTAGATAGATCAGAATGCGGCAGATTGCTCTTATTTAGAACGACTGAAGTAGTGCTTTGTGTTTCATGCAATTTCTTTTATATTGCTCGATAGAAGCAGAATTTTTAGATGTAATCTCCATAAGGTTTCCATCCCAGTAGTTCACAAGCTACATAGCACAGCGTAGTCCGGAAAAGC